TATGTGTATATATATTACATATATATATATAGGCCTATTAATTGTAATAATTCATATATTAATAGTGTTTATTTATATTTTCAAGGGAACACTGGGCCACCTGGACCACCAGGTAAACATTCATTATTCTATTGGGTTTTTTACCTTTTCTCGTATCTATTTTTCTCAGATTTATAAAAATTCATAGAACACATGTGCAACTATTGATGTAATATTTTATCTAGAATTCATGTTGAAAATATGGTTAAAATAAAATAAATCCTGTTTTTAATTATTGTTATGCTTAATGGTTATTTTATTATTTATTAAATCCATAGGAGGCCCAGCAGTTAATCCGATAGGTAATATATATTTCATTATCATTATATAATATTATTATTCATCATCACCATTATCATAATTATTATTTGAATTATCAATATTAATATCAATATATGTAAGATTCATATTCTTATTTTCAAAACATTTTACTGGTTTTCTACTAACATTTTTAAGAATTGCTTTAATAATTTACGTCTTGTGCTCTTTAGACCCATGTACTTCCAATCCCTGTGTGAATGGGATCTGTAGAAAGTCAGGCTCTTCTTATTCATGCATTTGTAATCGATGTTATTCAGGAAGCAGATGTCAATGTAAGTACCGTAGTCAAAACAGGCCAGAAAATTATCAATTTAGAAATTAATAAGAATTGATGAAGCCAAATCAAGTGTATAGATAATACTAATGAGGAAACAAATTATCCCACTTCTGCAAATGAGTAGATAAATTACCGCATATTCTATGCAGTTAGATGCGTTACTGCTTAGAGAAATTTTGCCCATAAACGTACTATGTTTGTTAAAATGGAAACATTTTGAGCTCTGGTAAATGCGATTGACTGTAAGGAAGCACGTAACCTTATTTATATTTAAAAGCGGACACTGATCGCTTGTGATGTGATATACTAATGTGACTGACGTGTAAATATGAGAGCAGTTAATACTAAAAAAGTACACTTTAATTTGTAAAATTAAACCCAACCTTTTTGCTCTTCCAAGAAATCAATTTATAAAATTAATAAATAGGAAAATTATTTTGTTTCGTCGAGAGTCACCGCGGCAAGGAATAGCACCCTAGATGGCTGTTTTATTCTTTTAAATTTATTATTGATTTTCCTGTACAACTTATTTTGATCTCCACAGACTATGATTCTAAACGCTGCTTAATCGAGCCCTTTGAGCCTCTGGAGCTGCCACTGAAGTAGATGGTCGTCTAAAGTAGTAGCTTCAGTCTTGCACATCAATCTTGCACGACAATCTCCTTTTCTATCCGTGCAGATCATCGCGCACTTGGGTCTTGATAAGCAGGGCCACCAATATAAACATTTTTCTCAGTAGTACTAATAACTAGTGACTGATTAAGACGCATTTTATTTTTTTAATTATTATTATTTTTGTACAGGTCTCCCTCTAATGAAAGGCCCCTCCAACTGAAGACCACCTCCAATTAAAGACCACTTTTCTGTGGTCCCAAATTAACCAGTCTTTTATTTTTATTATTCTAATTAGAGACCAAAGCTGCTAAAGACCATAAAAACCCTGTCCCAAGAGTGGTCTGTAATTGGATTCTGTAATTGAAATATTGTGAATGTAATAATACGGTAGCTTTTTAACAAGTCAGATTTAAAGCTAAATTTACTTAAATAAATCAGCTAGTATTAAATTGATCATCACATTAAGTGGTTCTTATAATAAAATTGTGTGTTGCGTTTTTAGATTGTCTTCATGATGGGACATGAATGCAAATACAGTGGCTATGGTTAAACCAGTTTCAACGAATTCCTAATTCCTATTGGATGTTATTGTCCTAATCCAATCTATTCATACAGTAGCATCCAGTCACACTGTTACTGAGTACCGGTACAGTTTTATTTTCAAATACTAGTTGAAAGTACTGTAGGAAACAATATTTTATCTGCTGTATTTTATTTACCTTTAAAAATCTTTGATTATCTCGTTGTTTATAGTTTTGTATTGTTTTGTAATTGGAATAAATTCGTATTGATTGATTGAAATTTATTTTATTTTGAGTTTCTTCTTGTATGTTTCTTTTTTAAATTGTACGTGCTCCCCATCATTTTGACGCGTAATGATTTGAAAGCGTATATTCAATAAAGTTCAGTTCCGTTCATTACTGTAATTAAGAATTTGTATAAGACTGGTGTAACAACAAAAGTGCCATTAAAAAATAAAATTTTATAAACCTGAATTTCAACACAAGAATGGCAATAATGAAATTGAACTATGCCTATACCCAATAAGAAGTGACCGTAAAAATCAGAATAGGTAGAGGGCGCTAAAACTTGTCACCAGGACCAGATTTATCAAACTGGAAATCATTTTATTATCTCAATCTTAAATTCGTCTGAAGTTTTTAAAGTCCATTTGTTTGTTTAGGTCAAATTTATCTATATTGCTTACTAAAAAATTTGCTTAAAATTAGAAAGAAGATAGTAATAAAATATTTATTAGGGATATCTTAACTTTTTTGACTAAGCTGAGATTGATAAATCCCGGGCCAGAAGCATACCAATGATACTCATTTACAAAACTAACATGCTGTTTTAAGTTTACTAAAATTTATGTTACGATTTATTATTTTCAGTATAAATTTTGTCTAAGATACTATAAAATTAATATCAACTAACATTTATTAATAAACAAATAACCATTCCATAACGTGATTCTATAAAAATGCTAAAATATGGTCACATATCCAGAGAATAGTCACTCTTATTTCTAATTTTGAGAACTACAGGATAACATATAACCTATTCATTTAATAGCATTATTTAGATTTTTACTTGTATGACCTATTCTACGATAGGCCTATTTGTTAATAAACAATCAAATTGAAACAATAATGCACAAAGCAACGTTACAAAATAAAATTTCAATTAAATTAACGTTAATATATTAGCCTATTGTATTATTTCGTACCGTATCTATTCTTAAGATTTAAGCATATATATAATAGGCCTATATGTTGTACTTGGGCCATAGTATATATACATATTTATTATCGATAATTTCATCTTATATAAATCAAGGCCAATGACGAGTGGAGCTGTTATAAAATATAAATATTATTTTTACTGACGTAATAGGGATTACAGTCAATATTATTAGTCTTAATATTAAGTTTACTTAATGATCGGACAAATCAGGGAGACCTTGGTGTACATTGGTAGTTGAAAGATGGAGGAAGATGTATCAGAATGGATGGAGTGTCAATCATACTTGAGCTGACCAACAAGAACATGGTCAGGAATAAATCCCACAAACACATGCGAAAAAGCGAAAGGTTTAAGCATGGACCTATTAATAGTTTAAACGACGTTTTGTGGAACTTTGGCTAACATATCAAAGGGGGGCTTTGGGGAATCGTCCATTAAACAAGAAATATATTATACAGTATATTCTATAAACTGAATACACTGTGTTTTCGTTTATTTTATCCACCTTCCTGTCGTAGCATACACTACCACGAATTCAAGAGTGGATTGGGATTGGATTTATTCGGTGAAAACACCAAAAATAGCAAACGAACACCTTCTGGTGCTGATTGGGCAATACACCTAGAGAAAATTCTCTACTCTTTTCCGAATTGTGTACAGCGTTCTTTAACGTGCACATGGGCCATAAATTAACACGGGACCAATGGCTTAAACACAAGGAGATTCAACGATAGCAATTGAACCGTGTACCCAGAGATCTCCACGGTTAAGCGCACACCGAGTGACAACCACCAGGTTAGCCGACTGAGCTAAGCTGCTCTCTCGTTCGTTCATTCATTGAATGAATGAATATGAATGAATGAATGAATGAACAAACGAAAGTACGAACGGGTTAACATTGTGTAATACATAAAATATAAATTGTTTGAGGCTGTAAAAAAGCAGCTATTCATGACTGAATGGACTAGACGGTGTCCATTAAAGTATAAGCAAGTGTTTCAGCTACATCAGTCTGTTAGACGAAACGTCCTGTCAGAACTTATAGAAAAACAAATTATAGTACTAAAGCAACGAAATAATAGAGGTTACTACCAATTTTCCTTAAATTTTTAAATATTCAAAAATCTGTATCTCATTATCCGTTGTAAGTTTTTCGTCAATCACCCTTATTGAGCCCGTCTTTAACTAAAACAGGAGCTGCGCCAAAACGTTCAGTATCGTCGGCGATGACGTGACAATCCGCTTTCTGTCAAAATACTACACTAGTGTTTAGTGTTATGATCTGTAATCGTTTGTACCTA